TTCGTTTTTAGAAATGAGGAAGTCAATGTCCGATTAAAAACTTTTCTTTAGTACGTCCCAAAAACAGCTGACTCAGGGTTGAAAACACTCATTTTTTTCAAAAAACTTAGAATTTTAATATTTCCCATAACTATTTGACCTAGGCATATATTTTTTTACATCATATTAAATACAAATAGTACTCTACAGGAACCTCGGGAATATCGTCATTCTGTTCCACCGAGTATATAAACATTTTTAATTATCTCCATGTTGTGTACGCATAGAGTTTGGCAAGCGAAACGTGACACCACCTTGGTGTCACTACAAAGATATCCTCTGGAAAACGGCATATTGTTGTGCATGCTGGATCTGAGGAAGGTTTTGTGCCTGGTGCATTATTAGTGTTCAGTAGTAAATCCAAATCTGCTGATTATCATGATGATATGAACTCATCGAACTTTATGAAATGGGTCAGAGAAAAATTAATACCAAATTTAAGTAAGCCCAGTGTAATTGTTAGGGATAATGCCAGCTACCATATAAAACAAATCAATAAACCGCCTATAATGTCTAATACCAAAGCAGATATCCGTAAATGGCTTGTAAATAATGGAATACATTTTGAGGAATATCAGACAAAGGCAGAGTTAATGTGTTTGGTTAATGATAAGAAAACATTGCCTGTATATGAAGCTGAAGAGATTTTAAAAGAACATAATCATGAACTTTTATTGCTGCCACCGTATCATTGTGACTTAAACCCAATAGAGATGGTTTGGAGTCAAGCAAAAAGAAAAATTGCAAGCAGAAACATTGGAATACCAGGAAAGGAAATGGAAAACTTAATAATAGAGTGTTTTAACTTAATTACCCCTAGTGACTGGAAGAAATACACTGATCATGTTTTAAATGTCGAAAATGATTACAAATTAAAAGATGGCATTGTTGAAAACGAACTTGAAAAATTTATTATATCTGTTGGTGCAGACAGTAGTGAAGAGAGTGACTCTGATGATTCCTTGTCATTGTTATCAGGTGTAGAATATTTAGAAACAGATTTTGACTATGAATCAGACTAAAGTATTTTTAGTCTGATTCATAGTCAAAATCTTATCTTAAATTTTCTATTGTGATTAACATGATGATTTTGTGACACCTGTATTATGTAATTTATCCATGGCACTTAATTGTAACAAAAATAAATGTTTTTTTTATTGTAATCTGGTGTTTATATTGACTAATTTAATTTGATAGATAGTGGTTCTGGATCAGAGCAAAAGGTTGTGATGAAAATCCCTTAGGAGACATGTATGTGTTATGAACACATTATAAATATAAGGGCCAGAAATCAAAATTGGCTAACATCACATTTATTAAAAAAATGTGGCCAGAGTCGCCCATATTCATTACAAAAAAACAAAGAAGTCGTTGCAAAAAACACCCTTTTAATTAATGACAAATATGAATTTTTAATATTATAAGTGCTGTTAGCCAATAGGTATAACGAATGGGTTAAAAAAAAGATTCGATTTAGTCCGTCAGTCAGATAATAGAAAAATATTGGATACGTATTTTTTTCGCTTTAATTTAACAACAAATGGCTTAAGAGGTACTATGCGACGACTTCAAATATGCTTTGCAACAATGTTACTTTAATACAGTTTATCGATACGAAATCAAGTGTCAAAATGGAGTCCAGTGGAGAATGCCGATATTGACATTTCGAAATTGCTCATCATTGATAGAGAATACGAAATAGTGATTTTGACACAATCAAAGTGTCTATTTTTTACGGTGATGACGATTCTTGGTTGTCAGTTGAGTTAGTGAATAGGCCTACTGATATGCTGTTAACTGTACAATTAAGAACAGTCACGCTTTAGTCAAATGTTCCAAAACAAATAATTTTAATTGATATCTAAATGTTAAGATTAAATATAATTAATAAAAGTATCAAAATTATTTTGCAGTACTACATTCAGTGTTTACTGCTTAAGAATTTTTGAAATTGCCGCCCTTTTCTTGTGACACGTTTCGCTTGCCAGACTCTAGTTCTAGATTGTAGTCAAATATGTATTCACTTTTTATGACACTAATCTGTTTTGAGTGCCTGTATAAATAAATAAATCACTATTGACATTTCAGTTTACAGGGTTTACTATTCGATGGCACTAGAAAATATCAGCTGTCACTTGTAAGGAAGTGTACCACCCTAAGAGTATAATAGAGGGAGATTAAAGAGCAGTTTTTATGAAACAATAACGTTTTATTATATAAGTATATATATTAATATTTTATTTAATGACACCATAAATCAATTCAAACTACACTATGGTATTAGCGATGATCTACGAAGGTCGAATATCGTGCCTTGTTGGCTGACTACCAACAGAGTATAAGTAAAAAAAATAAAAAATAAAGATATTTTATTTCAAGACCAGAAATGATGTAAACATTTGTAATGGACTATTTCTTTTAGATAAAATAAATATCTGTACCAGAAATAGTCCGCTCTTCCATAATACATTTGATATTTCGTTTATTACAATTGTCTTCACTTATTACATAGTACTCGCCTTGTGAAAAAAAAACAAATACAAACAAATAAAATAAAATTAAAGCATGCAAATGAGTGTGTGCGCATGCCAGTTTGAATATGTATATGCATAGTATGACACGTAAACACTGGCATACTTATGTTTGCCTTTGTGTGTGTGTGTGTGTGTGTGTGTGTGTGTATGTTTGGGTGAATTATCGCTTTGAGTGGTAAAATCAGTGTTAATTAGTGTTTAGTCTATTCAATTTATTGCAGTAGATTTTCAACATGATTATAATTTAAAGATTTAAGAAATTTAATTAGATTTTTTTTAGTATTATATGAAGTCAATGTGTATATATTAATTATATTATTTATTTTATTGTATAAGTGTGTAGATAACTTTTCAAATTGACGACTTGCAAATACTGTATTTAGCGGCTTTGCACGAACAACTACATTTTTATTCCTTTTGTTTTGTTTTTCAGGGATATAAGTCAATAATTTATGTTTTTTTTAAATCGCGTGTAATATAAAAAGTTTTCTCACTGATAGGACATCACACAACGTATACAGTTCCTCTGTAGGGAATCTGCGCTGTTTAAAATACATCACTTTAAGAAGGGACCTTTGAGACCTTTCTAATGCTAAGAATTTTGTTTTAGTAGCACCACCCCAAACAGCAATGCAGTACGTCAGTACGGACTGCACTAATTGGATATAGATTATATTCAAGAGATTCTTTTCTGAATTTTTATTTTGAGTAGATTGTGAGACTACAGAAGTAGGAACCACATGCCTTAGGCTTTTAAATATCCATATAAATTTTCTAACCCTACTTGAAATTTGTTCAATTTGATTATGCCATGATAAATTTTCATCTATTATGATTCCAAGGTATCTTGTATTGCTAACCTTTGTGATTTTGGAACATGTACAAATTCTATTATTATTATATTTACCATTATAGTTATTTTTATTATCATTATCATATACATTATTATTGCATCTATGTATTGTAATATTAAAATCGCTTTTTGGTTGTGTTCTGTTCCTAAGGGTAAAGCAAATATAATTTGTTTTTTTAGTATTTAAGGTGAGCAAATTACTGTCAAGCCAACAAGCGATCCTTTTCATTCCCATTTCTACTTCGATACGTAAGGTATCCCAGGAAGAACCTTCAAAGACTACTGCAGTATCATCTGCATAGGAAAATATGTGAGCATTATTTATTTTCATGTTACACAGGTCATTAATGTAAATTAAGAACAGCGTAGGTCCCAGTACACTGCCTTGCGGAACACCATATTCAACTATCTTATTAGTGCTCACATACTCCTCTACCCTCACCTGCTGAGACCTATCCAAAAGGTAATCCCCGAGCAGCGCTAAAGGTAAACCTCTTATTCCAAGTTTCTCTAGTTTAGTCATCAGGGTCGGGATGGATACGGTATCAAAAGTTTTTTTTAGATCAATGAATACAGTTAAACATTTTTTTCGTTTATCAAGTATATTAACGATTAAGAAACTTAATGCAATCACCGCATCTTCTGTCGATTTACCCTTTCTAAACCCATACTGTGATGGAGATAATAGATTAAATCTGTCAAGATATTTCATAAGCCTAGTGTTTATTAGCTTTTCCAGTATTTTTGATATAGATGTTAAGACTGAAATTGGCCGATAGTTATTTATATCATCACCGTCCCCTCCTTTGTGGATTGGTGTTACTATCGATTGTTTCAGCAAAACCGGAAAAACACCATTTCTGAAGCAAGTGTTAGCTAGATGGGTGATAATTGGTACTACCTCGTCCTTTGCAAGCTTAAGATATCTTGTTGAAATCTTATCCCATCCCGAGGCACTATCAGTTTTTAAACTTATCAATATAGAGCGAACTTCATCGCAGTCTGTATCAAACATTACAAAAGACTGTGAATGCTCGAAATTTGAAATTTCGTAATTTTTTGAATTTTCTACATTACAAAAATGTGGAACGCTTCACGATTTTGCGTGTCATCCTTGCGCAGGGTCATAAGTATATTTAGGGAATAGGTAATTATTAATATTATTTGCTCCCACCCCTGGTTAGAAAGAAAAGTATAGTTTTTCACTTTTTTCGCTTGTTAACGAATAAAGTACATGTTAGTGTTGCCCAAATGCCCATAGAGATACTTCAAAAGAATCGGTATAGCAGTATCAGAATCTGATGGCGCAAAATAAAGACAATAAATAACGATTTTCATATGACATATACGTAAGACAGCTCTAATTAATGATAATGATGAATATCAATAGTCGGTATAGTTTAAAAGTAATCTTATTTAGGGTTTATGGTTCTTACAAAAGACGATGGCTGTATGGGCTAAGCGCCCTTCGCCTTTGGTTAAGCTAAGAAATTACATAAAGTTTACGGTTCTTTGGTTTCGAACTAACCAATCAGATGTCAGGAAATGGTAAACATGATTGCTGTCACACACATGTCACATTGAAAACAGTTGAAATCAAAACTTCATTGTGTATAGTTCTTATTGTATGACTATTTTTGTTTATATTCCAAGGAACTGCACGTAATTCTTTATAAAAGTTATATTGAATTGAGTTATAGATTAGCTACGATAATTATTCACAGCATTTTTAGTTTTGTTTGAGGAATGGAGGTAGACAGTGTGGATCCTGTAAGCAATCCCTCAGACGGGGGAAAGTTCGTAAATTTAAAACTATTTGTCACAGCCGCTCGAGAATTTGAAAACACACATAGTGAAAATGCAGTGAATTTAATGAATCGTTATTTAGGTGTAAGTATTAACTTTAATTCCTGCGATATCGCCATGGCTATCCTGTTCCCGTTAAAGTTGTTTTTTTGTTGTGTTCTAGTTGATAGCATCGTCTTGTGATCTGTCCATTTTCTCCCCCGGACGGTCTGAAGTGTGTGCATTCTTTAGTTCGCTATGGAGAGTGATGTGTGATGGCAGAGGACCTCATTGGGCTGGGGTGGCGGTACTGTCTCGTGCTTCGATAGAGCCTAGTGCGCGGCATGCGCTCACGCATACATACAAGTAAGTGACAACGAGGAAAGTTATAAAATTTAGAGTTAAATTTTATTAACAGCTAAGAGATAAATCTTATTGCAATAAGGAAAAAGTATTACATATACTCTGTAAAGTAAATCGCTCTGGGTTTGTCCACCCAATGGACCCCCTTCTCATAATGCCTTAATTATGGATAGACTCATATTAGACGTTTATCAGGCAATGTTACAGCTGGTTGCTATCAAATATAAGTAGCTGTGACTTATGAACTTTCATTTCAAAACGAGAAGATCTCATAAATAATAAAATTAAAAGAGGCTGTTGTGTGATCTTTTCCCCTTATAAACATGTAAAGTACAATATAGTAGAACTCCTGCACTATTATTTTACTTTAGTTATTGTGTTTTAGATTTATGCCAAACTTATCAAGCCTTATTTAACTGTAGTTATTGTGTTTCAGATTTATGCCAATCTTATCAAGACTTCTATCAGACTCCATATCAAATGACAAAAAAATAAAACTTCTATCAGTAATGCAGGTCAGCTTGTGCTATTACTATGTGAACATGTATAAGTTACATATTACATAATTAAGAAATGAGGTCCAGTTCAAATAAATTTATCACATTGTTAATTTTTAACACATTAATTAAAATAACACTTAAGCTTGTTACACCTATTTATTTAAATTTCCTAATAATAATGATAAAAACTTTTTGTAAATGTTATTAATACTGTTAAGATCTGGTGAGTGAGATCAAGTATGCTATTCACTGCACCATCCAGCTCCTCTTAATATGCCTATTTGAATATAAGTAATATTTCAGATTTGCTTATTAGAGAGCTCTTGTACTGACAATGTGAAATCATCATTGGCCCTCACCAAGGTGGATTTTGAGAAGTTTTTATCACCCATCCTATAAAATTACTTAATATGTTCATTACAGACCAACTGAGCTACTACCTTTGAGCATTAGAAATTAAATTTTATATCACTTGTTATTTATGCATATTAATTAATATTATGAAACTTTCAGGATATTTCATATGGTATTAAAATAAGCTGGCAGGAGTCTTATTTGGCAAGTCTCATGAAGCAGCTCACAGAGTGGATTACACAGCCAATGACTGAACCTCAACATCGAACTATAGGGCATAAGTCTCTTACAGTTTTAGTGAATGTCTGCTATGGAAACTTGCCTGCTATTTATGCACTGATGAGAACTGTTGATACTAAGGATTTTGTTGTGCATCTTATCAATTTGAAGGTATATTCTTTAGTCTATTAAAATTTCTATTGTTACACATGTAAGTTTCCCAAACTTTTGAGATAGTAGAACTTCCTCTTACTACATTTTATTATATAGAACTCTAAATCAAATGATTATAAATCAAAGACATTGTAATTTATATACGATAATTGTATTTATATAGAAATGTAACATGATTTGTAGAATGAAATTGTTTCATTGTTTTTCCAATTTTGCGTGTAAGAATGATATAGTTTTGGAAGTGAATAATAATTCTGGATTTTCATTATAAACAAAAATTTTAATTGAAATAAAAATAAGATATTGTGATTATAGTTCTAATCGCATGATTTTATTACTATCCAACCTGATTTCAAGCCAACATTAGTTTTGCTTAGACCAAACCAGTTCGTCCTAAGCTCCATAGGACAAACTAGTTTGGTCTAGGCTATACCAATAAAGTAAATAGCTTTCCGCCACCGGCTTCGCTCGCGTAATTCGTAGGTATCTGTTAATTTGGATATCAATGCCTATGCCTATGTCAACCACATATGATGTAACTTTCTGTATGTGAAGGAATTTTTAAAATTGGTCCAGTATTGGTCCAGCATATTTATTACTCTTATTAATATTATAATTACTATAGACATAAATTATTGTTACTATATAAAATAAAAACAGTATTATTTGGTATAATATGATTGTTTGTATTATTAATTATCCATTAGTTATGATGACAAATTATCATTTTAATATAAAAGATTATTTTTCCTTTACAAAGTATTTTATTCACTGCATTATATATTTATTTTGGTTTTCTAAGTACTCTATAATGTTAAGTAAGAATATGCCATAACATTTTATCCTAGGAGTGTGCATATTTATATTTATATTAATTAGCTTGACTTAGCCTTAACTGGTTTATCCTATCAGGCTCACTATAAACTAGTTTCGTCTAGGCTATACTGGTAAATCCTAAAGTCCACACGAGTGGCATCTAATTGCTTCTTATATAACCTTATATGCTGGTGTTGCCCCACCATTCATGACTCTTAGATTTTAATAATGCATTATTCATAAGCTATACGAATATTATAAATAGGTGGGATTTGATTGTTAGTTTGCATCGAATAATTTCTGAAACCACTGGCAAAATATTATCGTGTGTTAAGTCGTGGAAAACCACTGGGCCGATTTTATAAATACTTTCACCTGCATATATAGCTGCATGATACGGGGTTGACATAGGCTGTCATTTACGCATGCGAAGTCGAGGAAAACATTTAGTTAATTATATAACATGAGAAAATTGCTGTTAGGATGGTGGATACGGTGGTGTCGAGGTGTGCCGTTTACTACTTTGTTTGTCCGGAGCGACGCGGGGAGCGGCGGCAACCCGCCAACCAGACGTGCACAGCTATCTCAACTGCACGATGCGCACATTCAACAAGGCTATCGTGTAAGTATAATCTTCATCGGACTATTATTGACCCCACTGCTCGACACAGGCTTCTTTGCATATTAACACCCTGCACAAACGTCCATTAAGGTTCAATAAGACTGCTGAGACTAAATGTCATTTGTGTATTATGTGTTTATGTGTGTATAATATATGTATTATTCATCTTTGCAATTGTATAGTATTGTTGTCAATAATAGCTTCTCCCTACCAAAAAAAAAAACATAGTTATGTACATTAAGTGGATCCTGTTTTTGTTAACATACCATATAGTAATAATAAGTTGCGTATATTGCTTACTTTGCTTCGAAGAGAATTATTAAAGTTATGAAATTCTGTTATTGGCTAGATTAGATATATAAGAGAAAACAAAATGATTGTAAAAAAAGCTGTTGAGTTTCTTAATAAATAAAAAAATGACCACTTAAAGCTCTAATGAATTATCGAAATTTGAAAATGGATGTTTGTGAAACGGGCAGACTTTGCTTTAAAATAGTGGCAATTTTAATTTTAAACGGAATCGAATAGAGGAAATGAGCTAAACCATGCAGACCCGATGGATGGTTCTGATAACAGATACCTATATTGACGACCTCCGTAGCCGAGTGGTTCGCACGCCGGTTTCAAGGTGTCGCCATTTCTGAGGTCCCGGGTTCGATCCCCGGTCAGGTCAATGTAGAAAATGAACTTTTCTATATTGTGTCGGGTCTGGGTGTTGTGTTACTTTCGTTGTCTCAGTTACTCCATAATATGGGGGCTTTGACTACTCATCTTGGAATCTGAACAATGGATGTGATATTGTGTAATATTTATAATATTTATTATTAATAGCCAGGGAAACTGCTTAATGTATTCCTTGGTTCGTTTTCCCTAGATTGTCATACGATATTTTACGTAATACACAGAAATACTAATTCGATTTTGGACAGGAATAAGGATCGCAGTGGTAAGGGCGTTCGTTCAGCGAATAACAAAATAACCAAGCGAATGACCAAATACCCGTGAAATACGGGTATTTGGTCACCCATCTTCCGTGAGTTCTTTCGGAAGGCACGTTAGGACGTTGGGACAGGCTTTATTTTCAGTAGTTAAGACTCGCAAATCCGCACCCCAGCAGCGGGGATAGTAGTATGCTGGTGATGATGACAAAACTAATAAAATCTTTACAATTCACTATAAATATTTGATATTTTGTTTAAAACTTTTTTATTCGTTCAAATGTCTTTTAATGATTTATATTCTATTCTGATTGTAGTGATCAAGACGCCACTCAGCTGCTGCACGCGTTTACCTTCATCAGTGATTTGTGTAACGACAACAACTTGCGCAGTTTTGTTTTGACTTATCCACATTTTTCACAAGCACTCACGGACGCTATGAAGGCAAGTGTCCTTTCATATAAATTATTAATCATTTTTAACAATGGCTAAAAACTTTTACTATATCCATTAGATGACACAGCCTTCGTTACCAAACGGCTTGACCTATTTGATGAAATTTTATATGTATATTCAGTAAGTTTGAGAATAGGTACAACTTGAAAGAATTCATCTTTTCATACGTTGGTTGACCCGTCACATGTTTTTTTTTTAAACCGCCATTGTACGATCCGAATCGTTTTGGGGTAGTACAGCAAACTGTCATTCTAGGGTCCCAATCGCATAGGGGTAACTTTTTGAAAATATTTATCAGCCTCACAATATTTATCCCAACTTTATTTTAAGGCTTAATAATAATTATGACATCATTTGACCCCGTTAGTAAATTTTGAGGTCAAAATTGGACAAGATTCCTTCGAAACAAAATTTGAAATATGTGTAATATATGTGCTTGTTGGGTAATATTAATTTATTTGGTATGAAACACAGGCGTTAATTTAAATCTTTAAAAAAATACATGTTTATTTCAGGATGTTGACAACCTTTGTAAGATAAACCCAGATGACGCCGGAGAACCAGAACACATGATTGATTGCCTCCGAAACGCATTGAAATTTCTTACGGTGCTGGTAAACTTAGGTAATTATTATTCCCAACAGTTCTTATTTTAATGTGCAATAAACATTGCCATACTATAGTTTATGTATAACTTTGACCATATCAGTTGCCAGTGAATAAAAATTAGAGAAGATGCTTACATACTAGAACAGATCTAAAAACATGGCCGGACCGGGGGCTGAGGGGGGAACTCGCTCCTTGCCTTGCAGGGGGCGCCGAAATCATTATTATTTAATGTGTATTAATGGTACCCACTTACCGTAAAAGCTTTCTTTTTCAATTGAAAATAAATAAAAGAAAAATTTCGTACATTACAAAAATATGTTATATAAAATCTGACAACACGGAGAGAAGGAAGGGCACCATACGACGTGCCTGTTCCGGTAAAAATAAAAATCGTAGATCCGAGATTGTCTTAAAATCAGGTATTTTACAATACTAAGCGGCGTTTATTAAATATTTGTAAATATATAATTGATTTACCTACTATTATATTTGCATGTACTACTCAATTTCACAATTTTCGACTTTAATACAATGAAGTAAGATTTCATAGATAGGTAAGTAGTACTAGAATAAGGAGGAATAGGTGACTGAAGTGTCGCCTAACAATGTATATGCCTGGTAATGTAAATTATAAGTTTCCCAATAAACTAGCGGCGTCGAATCTGAGCAGTTACTACTCGTGAATAAGGTATTTAGATCGCGTATTAGATAATACTTAGAATATGTGAATGTAGTACAAAATTTACTGAGTATTATGACCAAACTCTAATAAAAATGCAAGATGGTAGTATGATTTCAATGGAAATGTGTGTATAATTAATGTTTGAAACTATGTGACGTTATTCGATTATGCTGTTTACAATGAAATGTCATTTATTTTTAGTATATAATGAATATGTGTTATAGTGGTTTAATGAAGGAATTATTTATATGATTATGTTTTTATAATTTGCAGATCTATATTCGTTGAGGTGTCATCATGGACATGTGGTGTGTATATGTATGAAAGCAAGTCGCGTTTGTTTGCCAGAAGCGTTAGAACTATTTGCTGCCATCGTTGTACAGTATAGAGGTAAAAATAATATCGTAGAATTCTGAATATTGTATTAGTAAGTTGTTATAGTGTTATTATTTTATATTTTTGAATCCTGCTCGAAGGACCGATGTAGTAAAATGTGATTCTCGATCCACTTTAATTAAAACAAAAGTACTTTAAAAATTTTAAACTACATCATATCTAAAGTTCAGTGTATTAATAATAATAAAATCATATGCGTATAAATACATTAACGTGCCATAAATAAAAAACAGGCCAAGTGCGAGTCGAACTATCACGTTTGTTTTTTTGAAGTTAAAAAAACTTGAAGTGAAGTTAGTTTGTTTGAATATTTATTTTATTTAGATATTTTTACGTCATTGTGAAAGTTTCAACTATGTAAATACTAAATAACGATCACGGTTCATGAGTTTCAGCTTTCCGACAGACGGACAGACAACGGAGTCTTAGTAATGAGGTCCTGTTTTACCTTTTGAGCACCCTCCTTCCAAAAATTGTTATGGACATTTTGATAAATAAAAAAGACTAATGTACTAGCGGCGCCATCTTCCCATAGTAAATAAAGAACCGCACAATGACCAAAACCAGATGAAAAGAATCAATAAAATACTACTTTATTTCTATGTGCACTTAGTAAAAATTGGGAAATTTCATAATCAGTTTGTCTCTGTCTTGCTTCCAGATGAAGGATGTCTACCTAAAGAGCTTCTGAGTGTTATTAACGACGGCCTACCAGCACTACTGGTTCCACCTGCTCTGGAACCTGGTAAAGCTGGATTACAATGGGTGAGTTTAAAGCGTAGTGTACATCACTGCATAGTAAATAATAAAGTTGCCATGTATGCTTAAATCTTTAAAACTACGAAACGGATTTTGATGTGGTTTTTTTTTCATAGATTGGGTGTTTCAAAAGGAAGGTTTTTATGTATAATACAAAATCACGCGGGCAAAGCCGCTGGCGGAAAGCTAGTTTTTAATAAAATAACAAACACCTTTATAACACTAGTGTTAGAGAAAGTCTGTCTAGCTAGCTAGACAGACTTTCTTCTATCATAAGCTGTGACTTCATCATATACACAAGTGGATTTTTGTGACCGGACATTATTTGTAATTTTACTGATTGAATTTCTTAATAAAAAGGACAGTGTGTATATTTATTACCTTGATATACGTATTAAGTACACTAAGATACAACTAACGTGTAACTGCACATAAGGGTAAATTGCGAAGAGCGGCAAATGTCGACCAATATCTACGCGCCTGACCATAGCTGGGTGTGAGAGAGACGGACACATAATGCTTTTGTATTTGATATTTTATTGTTATTCAAATAAAAATCACTATACATTTTATTTGTAGGCAGACCCATGCGCAAATTAAGATTCACCATGCGTCATATTAGTTAAAATTTACTGTAAAGCCGAATTTAAATTATCAAAGTAGTTGCATGAAACTAGTTTCATTACTATAATTTCGCTACCTGTTGCACGTGTGATCGTCCACTTTCGCAATGCATGCATAGTTTCATGATGCTAAAGTAGTAGCGTGCGTTGCGCATATTTTTGATGAAACTACATTCACGCAACTAATTTCACCTCTATTTTCATGGCGAAACTAATGTCTTAACACTATCTGCGTACAATAAAGTCACTCCGATATACTGTTGATTGCACGCCATTACGAAAGTAGTTTCACATGTGCCGATGTTAGTTTCGTGGAACTTTTTATTAGTTTCATGCAACAACATATAAATTCGGATTAAAGTATTATTCGTTGCATCACTAGGTCTGAGTAATATGTAACATGTTATCTAATATTGATTAATATTTATATTGTTCTAGTTACAAGTAGTGGGTGCCTTATGCGAATCTATTGAGACTCAAGAACGAGTCCTGCAAGAAGTATCACCGGATACATTCGAAGATACTTTGTATAGTGTACTGCAGTACACATCACAGGTAATGTAATTTTATTGTATTTATCAAATAACATTTGTAGCTAAAAGTTACTTATTTATTGTCCTTCAGTAATAAAAATGGATATCCCGAGATTTAATTTATGAAGAATGTCTTTTGAGATCTTCAATGCAGCATAAAAACTATCAGTAGGGCAACACTTCACAAGTTGTTTTGAATGAGATTTTTAAATAGAAATTTTTCATTGGCACAGGATTATTATTTATATATTTTATTCCACGTTTCCTTATCTACGTATTTATATTTTCAATTCTTTATGATTTGTTGAATATATCAGGTATCGTACACCTATTTATTACTTGATGCAAATCTTATAAGCTAATCACAAGCTTCCGCATATATGCAAACAATCTGCTGAAATTAGAATGTTTAGATGAGGTTGATATTATGCAAAATGTTTAGATATTATACATAATAACTGATTTATTACTTTGGCTATAACATATGTGATTACAATGATAGTTATCTACGGTATATTATTTATTTCACCGATGAAAAGGTACATGTTAATACCGTAGATAAATATCATTCTGATGTAGATGACCATGAAAGCTTTTATTCAACATTTAATATTTATTTGTTTAAAAAAATTAATTAAATAATCGTTTTCAGAACGGTCCGGTAGGCTTGGAAGCGTCTCAGCAAGGAGTAGTGGTCGCATGTCGCGCTGCATTATCTCTAGCGCCTCTACACAACACATGGAGTATCACACTCAATAGAATACTGGCACATCATCAGGTAAATATACAGATAATAATAACAAGTTTTTGCCCTGGATGGAAAAAGTTGTAAGTCCGGGCCTGATGCCGCCCCCGACTTGGTTAGTCCGCCACTTGAGTCGTTACAGTATAATAAATAGGCTTATTGCGATTTTTTTATTGTATAAAGAAATAGTCCATTAATATCTGAGAAATAATACAGCGTGTCTGCGATTAATAATTTTGGTAGTAAACCAAGATGACTGACAGTAATATTACTATTTGGCTCGCATAGTATTATTACGCTACGAGCGCTGCCTGTTATTTATATATTTCGTCAGCTTGTCACTTGATGGAGTTGTGCTCCGTTGAATCGCGCAGACCAAAGAGTCAACGCGTTTAGATGTATAACAGGTTCTAGAACTTTGTTATAGAACTTTTTTTAAATGAATTGGCAAATTGCGAACTTGGTGTTTATTTTAACCCGAACTCCGGCTCTTTCAGAGGCGGACTAGGGTGGGGGGGAAGGGGCAGTCCACCCCGGGCCTCTTGTCCTGAGAGGGCCTCCCAATGGCTGTAAATTCCCTTGATCAAATAACAAATTGGGGTTGGACTGCCCACTGCCCCTGGCGATGTGTTTCTTGATTTAGTCGTGTGAATATGTACTAAAAATAAATACAATAAAACAAAACATATATAAAGTTAAACTAATCTAAAAAAAATAGCAAACTTTTTTTGTTTGCTGACAGTACTATAATGACTGCTTAGCCGATTTTTGTCGTGAAAGAATGTTGAGAAATATCCATTTATTTTATTTACAGGTTCGCAAGTTCTTATGCGCTGGATTGACTAGTTCGAACGGCACAAGACGCAGGCAGATCTTGCAGCTTATCAAGCACCATTATTTTCCATCCGATCAAATGAACCAGGTGTGTTTAGTTTTTGTATTACAGCTAAATAACGTACAATTTCTTTAAGAAGGGGTAAAGAGAATGTCCCTGAGTAAATATATATATATATATATATATATTATTTTCTTTCTATTATGATTAGCTATACTATAGAGCACGGAGCTGTTACCTTGCTAATAGGACTAACCACCTGGTTTTATCGAGGCTTAACGAAAGTTTAAAAGTTTATATAGGCTTAACGAGCCGTGATAATACATTTTTGATCATCCATTCTATGACCGGATTGCGATACGGTTGTGGAAGTTGCTTAAATCTCCGTAAAGGTCGATCATAGGATGGGTGACCAAAATTTATTATTACGAGCTCCTCCGAGATTAGGAAGGCACGGTTAAGCCGTTGGTACCAGCCACATATATTCTGTTTGTCTACGAACGAAAATTACAAAAAATTCGAATCGTTCTTATAATTTTTTTAAAATCATATACGTATATATCATCTGTGCATCAGAAGCAGTGTCAGGGTCCTACCTCCGTTTCATTATTAATTATTGAAATTTGTGTTCCTTAAGAGTCGTATTAGGGTTTCGAAAATAGACGAATTTTCGTTTTTGGAGAAAGAGAGTAGGCCTTCAGGTCTCATGTTAATTCGTACGATACGAGTATTATATAAGGTTTCATTTTAAATTTCTTTTTATTCTTTTGCATATGTTAACTCCCATCATACCATAGTTAGATAGTACATCTAAATTAATTTTATGATGATATTTCATTAGAGAATGATATACGATATGAACTATAAAAGTTAACGTTCGGTGAGTACATAGCGTGTCGGATATATCGTCAGGCGGGCGCCGGGCGGTTAAATCGGCAAAAGTTGTTTGCTTTCGACTTTTGAAAATTTGTTTTGTTATAAAATTTAATGAATTAACTTATCAACAATTCTATGTTTCAAAATAATGGTCTATTCTCAAAACATTCTAAAAGGTTTGTATATGAAAACCGACTCCGGACTTTTGAAAGATACTTATGCAAAAAAAAAAAAACCAATCCGTTTTTATTAAAACTCGTTCAATTTACAATATTAACTAAATATAAAAGATTCAGTCATCATATTTTATTATAAAATATTCATAGTGGATAAAATATTCATAGTGGATAATCGCTGCGGCCCGCGATCGTTGCCGTTAAGCAACTGTCGCAAGGGAGGTCACGGGATTGGTGACCAAATATATATTATCTCGAGCTACTCCGTGCTTCGGAAGGCGCGTTAAGCCGTTTGTCCCGGCTGCATTTGCAGTCGTTAATACCCTCCGAACCGCATTGGGCCAGCGTGGAGGGTCACGGTCCATCCTCCTTAACCATCCATAAGGAAGGCCTGAGCCCCTGCAGTGGGGACGTAAAAGGGCAGACGATGTTCCCCGCCCTCCACGACACGGGATAATTAGAGCCGAGGTCCGAGCCTTTAGAGGCGCCCTCCAATTATCCCGACCCCCAGCGTCCGACACGAGAGTCCAGGGCGATTCTACGACGGAGTGGAGACACCCCCCCGTGGGGTGATGCCCTCCTAGTAGATAATCTCAAAGACGATCGTCATCTCGGCTTGAGGTCCTCAGGATCTCGCCGTCCCTTAGTCCGGTTACACTGTAAAGGCCATCTGAGGCCAACAGTAACACACATTCAAAAACAAAAAAAAAAGATGATAAAAGGTTTCGTTCCGGTCAGGTGTTCGGTGAGAGTGTACAGAGCGTGTCGGATATACCGTCTAGCGGTGGTCCGCTAGAGGGCGGTGGCGGCGGTGGCGGCGGCGAGGGGGCGGAGTCGTGGTGCGCGCCGCGGCTGCAGCCCGCGCAGGAGCACGCCGTCGACAGGCTGGTGGCCGCGCTCACTGAGGCCCTACACACCGGCAAGGTAACACTACCACCATACCTCAATTTTTAAATGTTTCTTTAAATTGCTAATGCGCCTGGCCGCCATTTTGAGGACGTGATTGCATTAAAATGTCGGTACTGTTGGTGCCTGAGCTTGGTGGAATATTAAATGATAATGACACGATTTATGTAAATGTCATTACTTCGCTTTGTCTTCTTGTCAGCTAAAAGGCGTCCTGAACAAGTGGTAGGGGAAAAGAAATTTTTTTGGACGATTTAAAAGTAATTGTATTAGTCTACTTGAATAAAGATATTTTCATGTCATAAAATGAATATTTATGAGTGCATCCGATTATATGAACGGTAAAAAATACACTGATTTACGAAAATGATTTGATGTATAGCGCGGACAATGACCTACTTTAAATACATTATTATTAATTGTAGGTATACAAAATTCGGTTATGCACCGAACAGGTACCGTTAACAAATAAACACTGGTCGACGAGTACACTTATTGACTAGGGTTGTGTTGAGATCACACTTCACTTTTGTTGTGTTTTTGTTGGTTTCGATTGTTATTGTTAAGTTTTGTTCTTACTTATTAGTCTTGACTTATATTGCAACTATGATTTTCACAATAAGTAAACATAATTTCACTAATAATAAATATATTTAATGACTCTCATTTCATTATTACTTTATGTTATGTTTAACAAAATCCGTTTGTTATCGCGTTGTCACAAAGTAAATATTTTTTTTTCATACTTTTTTATCTTCCATATTCCTCAATATTTACATATAGATTGTTTCTTTTCCAAAAATTCATGCAATAAATTTAGAAACTGAAAGTTGTTAAATTATTATAACAATATTTTGGGAATTGTTCACATATATTTTAATAATTAATAAATTTATTTCCTGCCTTTATAACATGAAATATATCTAAATAAATAATTCATATAATTTAATAAGTTAAAATCTAAAAATAAATTTAGTATTCAAAAATTTCCGGGGAGAATGCCACTTTTGTCATGGCATCGCTATGACGTCATGGCACTCTGAAACGAATATCGTTCTATGTATGCATAAGGTTGAATTCTCCAAGTTCTTATATGAGTAAAGGCGAGACGTGAAAACGAGCATAAAATATTTGTTTCTTAATAATTATGCTTAAGCTTTTAAGCATAATTATTAAGAAACAAATATATTAAGCTTAAGCTTTATTATGCATAAACTATAATAAGTGTGATTCTCGGTAATAGTATATTAAACACTACCAGAAAAAAAAAAATATTTTCGTTTACTGTATACACCCGTATTATCCTTTTTTGCTTGTTGTCCTCTATGATCCGTTTATGGATACAAATATAATTGTCGCTGACGACAAACCGATCGAGATCTACGATAACATGCGACGTGCGTAGTGAATTTGCTAGTGTATTTAAAAATTTTGTAAAATAAATTCACACCATCAAATATTACATTGGTTGAATACATTATTATTTGTTTGTGTTGATGTTGTGTTTTGTGTCGTTTGATAAATTAAATAGGGATGTGTCTGGATTAAAAAAAATAGAAATTCTATTTATTCTGTCAGTCAGATAATAGAAAAATATTAGATACTTTTTTTTTGCTTCAATTTAACAAGAAGTGGCTTAGAAAATAAGCATTAAAGTTGAGGAGTGGGAGCCCGCTACGTCACAGTTTTGTCGAAAATTTACAAAAGCTTGACGTTATGTTACATTTCAACTCAATATATCGCCGTAATTTATTGATTACGCAAAAAATAAAACAATACGTATTTCATAATTTTCAACTATCCACCTGACGAACAAACAAACAAAAATTAGCCATCATCCCTATAAAATAGATGGGGAAATAGAAAGTCTGTCACGTATGAGAAACAGATAATAACTTGTTGAAAAACTGTTAGTTCCTAACAAGGGAAAGTAATGCAGAATAACGAAATCTAATCACCAAGGAACAGTCTCAATAGTTACATGCACCTTTCATTACCACAAAATTAATCATCTTAACTAGAAATAAAAACCTGTATTTTTTAACTGTTAGCATGAGCTAATAGGGCATTTTTCATATTTTTTTTTCAAAAACTTAATTTAGGTGTTACTCCAATATTTATATGTAATGGATTTTTTTCTTATTCAAATTTGGGAACCTTCAGATAAAGATGGACCTATAACGATGTAAGTTGCATTTTTCACCTTTTATGTAGTGTTATTATTTTTATTGAAAATTATAGTTAATGTTTAAGTAATAACAAATTCTATCTCTTTGTGCTACCGAATCCTAAAAGGCGTAAAAGAGGAAAATTTAAAGCGGTATGTTATTTTATATTGTTTTAAAACATTTAAATCGATGTTTAGTGCTTATTTGAAAAGAAAGTCTAATCAAATCCGTCAAACTTTCTTAAACATAAAATTCTCGGTTCGTTAAAATTTACAAGTGTTCTTATCGCCTCTGTGTAAGTTTAAAAAACGATTTTGTAAATTCCTATTCCTGTCCTCTATATCTTTTTTATTTTCGACCTACATAAACTATTATGGTAGATGGCGTTACTTTACATGCATCACGCGTAGTCGACGTTCCACAGCAGTGCTTTTCGAGTTGCGCTCTGTTTTATAGTTCACCGATAGATGTCGGCTGTGCTGCTTAACGTAAATAACTCTAGATTGCGGTGTTAAGATTTATTTTCGAATAATGACCTCCTTGCGATTGTTTGATTTCGGCAAGACCTTACTTCATAGGATCATTTCTATAGTAAGCTCTTCGCTAGACCTTCACAACATGTGAGGCCCAAACAACCGCGATGAGGAGACGTGGCGCGGTGCCTTGAGCGTGAGGAAGGCGGTGACAGTTTGTCATTTGCCGTCGATGATCGTTCGCCCCTTTCTTCGGGAAGGGGAGTGGGGTACTGTCGCTGTCTGAGTGGTTGATTTTTGAACTATTTAATTAAATAAACATGCGTAATCAGAGCGGCCGCAGTTACACAACTGTCTGCGTGTCAATACAAATAGATATAATAAATGACAATGATAAAATAATTAGTAGAGATGGGTCGTTGACAGATTTTCCGTCGACGAAACAAAGCCGTTCATGGACCTTGATCGACTAGTCGATCAACTAGTTGATTTTAACTATAGTTGACATAGAACTACGTCAACGGGTACGACGAACTTTGGACGAAGTTTAACGGTTTTAATTGTTTTATTGAACCGTATATCAATATTGAAAAGAAAACATTGTTGATCATCTGTACCTGGTTATGATTTTTTATTGTCGAAAGATAGCGCTAGTATTCTAATTAGATATTGTTTTGTATTTTAAACGAAACCGTATTTATTAAGTCTTCGCTATCCGTCCGTCTGTCTGTCACTAGGCTGTATCTCATGAACCTTGATAGATAGATAGTTAAAATTTTCACATAAGATTCATTATAAGTATATAACTCATAAGATTCATTCATGCTGCATATCATGGATACGTAGCGTCCAATCTCAGATATGGAATAGTTCTTTGGGGAAACTCAATAGATTTGAATAGGGTTTTTATATCTCAAAAGCACTTATCAAATGTTATCTCTTTAACCTTTGACGTCATGTAAACAGTTATTGATGACGTCAAAGGTTATCTCTTTAATCTTTGACGTCATGTAAACAGTTATTTCCGAAACTGAACTTATTAACTCTTCCTTCGCTGTATATTTTGGAATGTTGCGTTTTTGTAAAAACTCACCCATGTCTGTTCACACGTAAAGATATAAATTCTACTAGAAGTAACAGATATCCTGGAAAGCTCTTGTTACCTAAAATGCACACCGCCCTATTTAAAAGAAACTGTTATCCCAGTTGTGTGATAATTTATAATAGATTACCTTATTCATTAACTAAACTTAATTTGAATATATTTAGAAGAAAACTATCAAACTGGCTTAAAATTAAATATTTCTACTCAGTCAAGGAGTATCTAAATAGTAAGATTGACATACAATAAATATTGACTAACCTGTAATTGACATTTTTATTTCTATTTTATTAATTGAATTTCACGGACATTGTGTTTGATAGTATCTGATATTAGTTTTCTATTTTGAAATTATTGTAACATTTTAATTTGTTTGACATTATGTGAATGATAATAATATAATTTAATTAATCAATTGTTAATTTAATTAATTGTTTGATAATTATACTTGTATGATGTGATTTTATAATCAATATATTTGCATGCTATTGTTGATGACTAAATGGGCTGGACTCATTAATATTGTATTTCTGCCTATGATGTACCTCATTTAAAGGCAAATAAATATTATTATTATTATTTTCTTTTGCCAATAATAAACAAATACTAAAAACAGAATAAATATTTGCTTTTATTTAATAAAATAATGTTTTTGCTCGATATCGATACTTGCAGCGAGTAGACCCTTGAAATATTTACCGAAGATTTGTCTATAAACGTATTCACTTTAAAAATAAACAGTTAAATTAAAATAAAATAAATACTCAAGTTGGCTCTCGTACAAATACAACAGATTTAATGTTTTGCCGTTTTATAATGATATGTACGGATCTCTTCGTGTGCGAGTCCAACTCGCACTTAGCCGTTTTAAACATACAGTTAAAATAAATATTATGAAATTTTTCTGTAATAGGATAATTAATTTAATTAATAATTAATTAAAATAATAAATTAATGAATCATTATATAATTCGGATGCAAAAAAAAAAAGCTTGTTTATAGTAGAAAAAGTTAACTTATACTAAGTAGTAAAATTCTTAACACCGCCATGTCAAAAATCGTATAACACCATCTATCAGGGATTAACGTAAACAAACAAAGTCTAACATGTATTTAAATAAGGCCTATGTATTAGATACGCGTGTTCAAATATTTACTTACTTCCTTTGACTTTAGAGTTTAAATTATTTCAGCTGTCAAAGTTACATGAAAATTTAATAATGGAAACAACCGAATTCCATTGTATTATACAGATAAAGTTATGCGTTGCAGTTT